CTATGGGGAATTCGTTAAGGTGATATAGGTAGAATGTAGTGGCTGGAATGATCTCAACTGTGTATTTCGTATTAGGCCTATTGTGTTGTGCATAGTTTAGAATGTCTGCTGTGTTTAAGTGTTCTAAAAAATCTTTAAAATCTACTCTATTATTAATTAATTTAGGAAGCTCTAAGACGCATGCATTGTTGTTACTTGAGTGAAAAAACTTATATTCCCCTGTTTCTTTATGTTTTAAAATGGAATGGTGACTGTAGTTAATTTTGAACCGCTTAGTTTGTGTGTTAAATATGGTATCTATAAGTTTTGTATCCCAGTCTATTGGAGTAGTGTCTAGTGGGCTGTGAAAAAAATTGAATGTGGATATATGTTTGCCTGTAGTTGCGTGTGTCTGTATGGCGTGCCAATTGTCAATGTATATGTTTTGTAATTCGGTGTTTAAGTTGTAAATGGTGTCAATTTCGTCGAACGGTAAGTCTAAGTCGTTCAATTCCTCTAAATCTATGTCTACCACATCTCCCCTTAGGACATCTACAAGTATAGCGTCGGTGTCTACATTAACGTTACTGTCGTTGTGAGGTGTTTTTAGGCGTTTGTTTGTTGTTTCGTCATAGGTGCTTTGTCTCTTTAATTGTATAGGTAGGTTGTCTGTTTGTCTGTCGTTTGTTGATGCAGGTTGTTCAGTTTGTCTGTCAGATGTTAATGTCGGTTGTTCAGTTTGTCTGTCAGATGCTGATGGGACATCGGTTGGTGTATGTGGATTGGTGTGTGCTGTGGTGGTGTGTCTTTTTAAATTGTCAACTCTTGTGTACATTTTGCCACATTCGGTGCACTGATATCTGCCTCGTCCATGTGCAGTAGCTTGGTGTCTTTTCAAAGCGTCACTCCTGCTGAACACACGGGGACAGGTGGCGCACGTGTATCGGGTCATGGTTGAGTGAGTGGGTGGAGGGGTGGTTTGCATCTCAGTCTGTCTGTATAAGTAAGAGAGAAAAAAGTAAATAAATAAGCGTAAATAAATTTAAAGTAAATATATTTGACAACTTATTTAAAAATAAATAAGACGTAATTAAAGGGTATAAGCGTATTTTTATATTAACAGGGTTAATTCGATTAAAATATATAAATAAAATAAAATCAAATAAAATAAACAGTATTGAACTTACTTTTTTTAATGGTAATGTCTAAGCCGACTTGAGAGCTGTCAGTCGGAGGTTTGCTGTATGTGGTTGGGTCGCCTGGATATGGGTGGGTTGGGTTGTTGGCTAGTTGAATGGCTTGTTCAGTGGTTAGGGTTGACTGTATAATAAAAAAATAAAACGAATACCTCTGACTATTTATTTTAAAAATTAAAGATATAATTAAAGGGTAAAAAATAAAGTTCCCTTTTTTCAAAACTGTTGGTATATAGGACAAGTGCAGTAGAGTTCACTTGTTTCTGTAACCTCAGTATATGAAGAGCTAGTGTGGTCAGCCCTATTTACTTTCCCTAACACTAGTCAAGACAACAAAAGTACTAGGGCGGTTTACTGACTTGAGTCGGGATTCGAACTCGAGACTTACAGATTAACAGTAAAGCAAGCACATTTAACTCCAAGAAAATAAATAAGATTTTAATTAAAAGGGTATAAGCCTAACTTTATTAATAATCTAGGGGTGGGTCAGGTATATATTAAAAATTAAAGCAAGCATATTTAACTATTAATTTAAAAAGATAAATAAGATTTTAATTAAAAGGGTATAAGCCTAACTTTATTAATAATCTAGGGATGGGTCAGGTATCCATTAAAAATTAAAGCGAATACATTTAACTCCAAGAAAATAAATAAGATTTTAATTAAAAGGGTATAAGCCTAACTTTATTAATAATCTAGGGGTGGGTCAGGTATACATTAAAAATTAAAGCGAGTACATTTAACTCCAAGAAAATAAATAAATTTTTTTTTTTTATTAAAGGGAATAAACGTATCTTTATATTCGCTGAGTTAACTCCCTTAAAAGAATATATATATATATATATATATATATATATATATATATATATATATATATATAATAAAAAATAAAAATATTAACCTTACCTTAGTGCTGGATGATGTGAATGTCTAAGATGAAGTGAACTCGGTCCGTAGCAGGGTAGCTGATTCGATGAGTGCGGAATGACAAAGTATGCGGTCCGTAGCAGTATAGTTAGTTCAGTGGACGCGGTATCACAAGGTATGTAGTCCGTAGTAGGATGGCTGGTTGGCTGGACGTGAAGATGAGTTGAAGTCTTGAGAAGTAGTGTTTGAAGTAAAATTTCGTCTGAATTTATACTTTATGAACGCGTGGGTCAATTATGCAGGCGTGGGTCACGCAGATGTGGAGGTCATTGAACTCTACTGCAATCCTTGGTTTAAAAACAAAAACAAAACTCGTCACCTGCTTGATACATAAAATCGAAAATGTAATTTCTTTATCTCGCCTGTTTCACGCTTGCGCAGTGAAACGAATCGTCCCTTTGGACCAAGACGCGGTCGGGTTTTCAAAGCCTATTGTCCAGCGCTCAGCTACCCATACAATGGGTATTGTCCTCACAGAATACAATGGGCGGCCGACGCGTGCCCGTGTTTCGGTTGTGCGTGGAATTTGTAAACATTACTACATGTTAAATTTATTCAAAATTCTATACGCAGACACCGCGGGTGTGAACAAGCGAAGGGTGGACGCGTGCCATTGTGTACTGCATACCAGGATTGACGTGCGCATGCTTTAACACTTACGATTGGTCCCGAGTTTAGCGCCGTAATTTTTATCGACTATTCTATAAGCAGACAACGCGGATGTTTATACAAAGGTTATTGACCTCACAGGGTACAAGGGAAGCTAGTCGCGTGGTGCATCACCCGCGATTTCAGGAGGTCGTTGAACTACATTACCAACTGTTCGCGGTTTTCGTGAACCCGCCATTTTGGCTTTTATAAAAAATAATTCAAACAGACCATTCGTTTACAATTCAAGAGTTTTGCAAGACATTGTAACCAACAGCTGTGGGTTATACGCAGTTTATTTTGTTTTGAAGAAAGTTCGGGGAGCTAGCCTAAAACTTATTCTCCACCCATTTTCAGCTTCACCGGCTCGACAATATATTAACGATCGAGTTATATCCCGTTTAACCCTTGCACTTATTGGGACTAATTATAAACGTTTATTTCCGCGCTTTCAAGATGTCTAGTGAAGATTGGATACTTGTGACCAGAAGTAGTAATAAAGTGACGGAAATACGAACGACGAATGACAGTGGTTATAAAGTAGCTATCGTTAGTCAATTCATGAACAAAAACATTTTAAATCTTAGAGATCTTATGGATGGTACAGATCTTAAATTTCCTAATAATTCTGGAATTAATCTCTCTCGTATAGCTTTTGAACGTTTACTCGCCCTGAGATATGATATTTTAAAAGCGTTTGATGACTTGGAGAAAGTTGAAATAAATTCATAAAATATAAGAAGTCTTTTGTTGTGATATAAGTTGTATGTAATTTGTGTGTGTGTGTGTGTGTGTGTGTGTGTGTGTGTGTGTGTGTGTGAATGTGTATGTGTAAATAAATGCAAGCCATAAACACAACAAGCAAGTAGAAACCACCAGTGGGGTCAATAACCGGCCCGGGTGTTGGCACGTTCTGTATCTCTTTATATTAAGACGCGTAGAATTCGACATCCACCAGTCCTATTCAACAAAGATTTTATACGGTCAACATGTTTAAACATGACTTTTAAAAAATCGATAGTAAAGGCGCGTGAGTTGGATTAGACAATGGGGTAGGGCACCTGCCTTTGAGTATGACGCGAGTCGCGGCACACAAAAGGACATGCTCACACAGACGTCAGACAAAGGGAGAATGAGATTGCAACACACAAAGGGAAGGGGTACCACCTGCTACCACCTCCCCCCCACCCGCGTCACCCCCACCCACACCCCCATTGGAGGTGGGGAAATACTATTTTACTATATACTGTTAAAGCCGGACTGTCGTCCAGGTCAATAAAAACAACCAATAACTGGTCAACAAGTGGACAATTGGTCAATTGGTCAACTGGTCAACAACTGGTCAGTTGGTCAACTGGTAAACAAATGTATAACTTTATTTTAACCGTTAATAAAAGAACTGGTCAATTGGTCAACTACTAGGTACCCTAACCCTCAATACAAACAAATCAATAGGGGAATCCACCTCCACCTCCACCTCTGACCAACACGTGGTCAGTTGGTCAAGTGGTCAACATACCGATCAATACAATACCCTACTAATCAAAACAATCAACAGTTGGTTAATGAACAATCAACAACGGGTTAAAAATAATCAACAGGTGGGCAAAAAACAGGAAGAAAAATCAACAGGTGGTCGAAAATAAATCAATAACGGTCAAAATATGCAACAGATGGGCAAAAATCAATCAATAACGGTCAAAAAATGCAACAGTTGTCCACTCCACCTCCACCTCAATATGCAACAGTTGTCCCACCTCCACCTCCACCTCCACCTCCACCACCTCCACCACCTCCACCTCAATGATACCCAAAGGGGACCTACTATACTACTGACGACACACTGTTCGTTCACCGTTGCGGCTTCAAACTCTTCTAATGTATTCAATCTACTTCCTGCTTGTCTAATGTATTCAATCTACTTCCTGCTTTCTGTTAGACCCGGTACAGAATCTTGGGCAATCTGGGAGAGGCTCCCTACACAATAGAGCAACACAGCTAAACAATCCTTGATATGGTGGGGGAAGGGAACAATCTTCATCTTCTCCCGTTCGTCGCAGATGAAGTAGAGTTCATTTGTTTCAATGACCTCGTAATACAGGGGGATAAGAGTGGTCAGCACTATGTCCAGCCGTCTTTGTTTCTATAACGTGAGTAAGGTACCTTAGCACAGCATGTATCACATCTAAATTTACCTCAGCACAACAGTAGTAACAGCATGATGCGAGTTGAAAGAACAAAACGAGCCAGGTGAGAAAGAACGTGGCGAGAATCCCTACACAGATCCGGGTTTGTTGCTTGAAGTATTCACACGGCTTGTCAATGGAGCGAGTACTTTTGTCGTCAATGCTGAAACATGAGTACATTCAAACATGAACAGTTATACTGGCAGCTCTAAATGTCTGTGTGTGTGTGGGGGGGGGGGGGGAAGATAGGGGTGGATATAGTGGCACCAACCTACAGACGCAGGAGTCATCAATTGAGTTGCAATTTGTTTGGATTGATAAAACAAATGTGACATCACCGAGTGGGTTTACAATAATTAAAACGCTTGCAATCATAGCCAGGATGCCGACAATTAATGCTGTCACATACTGAAATATATATATATATATATATATATATATATATATATATATATATATATATATATATATATATATATATATATATATATATATATACATGTATATATAATATATATAATATACATGTATATATGTGTGTGTATACATTATGTATACAATGAATTTATTTTTACACATACAAAAACAACTCACCATAACTTTCTTCTGTACAAAAGCGGCGATGAAGCCGAAAATCCCAGGGACTAGGAACTGTAAAACATGTTCAAAGATATCAACATCAAATGAATGCTACCCATCCCCTCCCAATCCACCGACACAAGAGCATCAAAAAGAGGCCTTAGAAGTTTAAACATCGTTCGTTGATCAGACATTCCTTATCCCATATGTTGTATAGTTATGAAATATAATTTATTACAGTAGTAAGCAGATATATTCCCCCATCAGTAAGTAACCTATTATACAAGTAATTAACACAGATAACAGGTAGGAAAAGGCTTACCACAAACCCATAATCCCCAACTGACAAGAATACGGCTCTGTTATTCTTGCGATCATCCTGTTCATCAACGCCCAGGGATTTACCGAAGAGGAAATCCAATAGGACAGTAAAAATTATCCCTTAACACAACAGAGAAAGCAAGTTACAATGTGCAGAACGTCTGAACATTTTACAACAGTCATGTTTTTAAGTACAATATTACAAACGTAATGTTAAAATATGTAACAATTTAAAATAAAAAACTCTTGAAAACATAATTGATCCATTTGTATATACTTAATGCTTTAAGCATGATTTAGGTTTATTTAAATCACCAGAGCAGCCACTACGTAGGTCATTTAACTCCGTCATTCTAAATAGGTCATTAAGTAGGTCATTTTAAATATACTTTTGTGCAAATATATTTTCTATTAAGTCCTCATGAGTTCTGGAATCAAGAACAAGCTTCAAGTCCCAGAACGTATTGTGTACCTTCATCTGTCACACAGTGCAGCGTACATTAAGTTAAACAAATCAAGTCCCAGAACGTATTGTGTACCTTCATCTGTCACACAGTGCAGCTTCAAGTCTCAGAACGTATTGTGTACCTTCATCTGTCACACAGTGCAGCGTACATTAAGTTAAACAAATCAAGTCCCAGAACGTATTGTGTACCTTCATCTGTCACACAGTGCAGCGTACATTAAGTTAAACAAATCAAGTCTTAGAACGTATTGTGTACCTTCATCTGTTACACAGTGCAGCGTACATTAAGTTAAACAAATCAAGTCTCAGAACGTATTGTGTACCTTCATCTGTCACACAGTGCAGCGTACATTAAGTTAAACAAATCAAGTCTCAGAACGTATTATATACCTTCATCTGTCACACAGTGCAGCGTACATTGAGTTAAACAAATCAAGTCCCAGAACGTATTATATACCTTCATCTGTCACACAGTGCAGCGTACATTAAGTTAAACAAATCAAGTCTCAGAACGTATTATATACCTTCATCTGTCACACAGTGCAGCGTACATTAAGTTGAACAAATAATCTAATAATCCAGTTCAAGCAACATTATCTCAAATGTTTCCACACAAAAACAAAAACATCCAATTACTCTCTTTCAACCATAGTCACATGTCGTCTCTAATGACTCAACGCCAGCACTTAAACACAGAATGACCACTTCCATTGACCTCACATAAAATGACCACTTTATTAAACACAGAAAAATGACCTGACATGAAAAGACTTACCCCCAACGATAACGACTCCCGACAAACAACCCAGTGCGACAGGCCTGTTTTTAACCATTCTCTACAGCTTTATCTACACCAGCCAACAGGACATTTATTATCCTCTAGTCAGTTTTGTTGGTTTCTCGCAAATGTTATCTAAACCTGAACTTTGCAAGGAAATAATTTATTTGACGAATTGAATTTTAATAAAAACTCTCATGTTACTAGCAAACAATTAACTGCATGTGAACATCTTATAAAATAATACACAAATACTGAATCTTAGGGCATGTGAACATCTTTTAACGTAATACCCAAATACTAAATCTTAAGATAATGTGAAAAAAACACCGAGTAATCTGGGGGAATGTGATTAGTCCTTTGTAGCCAGCTTGGCTTGTATAGTCGAGTGAAACTAGAAGTAGTACAACCAGATATTGAAATTTCCCACAAATCATGTAATTAGACGAGGATTGCGTCCCTTGTCAACTTCTACCCTAAAGTTCGGGTAACTCTGTGCTATAATTTGATTAATGGGAATCCCCTTATTAAAAACAGTGAACTAGTCTAGTGGGACACTACACAATAGGCTTGAATAGCTGGTTCCAAATGGTTCCAAATTTTTATTACCAGGAAGCTTATTTTTTCAACCAAAATTGAATATTTTATAACATTTGTGTAATAAATACAAAATTACTTCCGGTTTCATTAAGGCCATACATTGTCAAAGAAATAATTACTAGTAATATAATAGTAATTTGGCAAACCCGTTTATTTTTATTTGGATTATTATAGTCAGGGTGTTGTGGTGATTGGGGATGTTATATTATTTAATACAAATTCAATACTACGCTATACATCATAGATAACTTTTTTATAATGGAGTACAATTTTTCTGACTTGTATTGTTTTACTCTCCCTGATCATTCCGGTAGACTTCAAGAAGAGGTTAAGGGCAGCTTTTGAAAATATTTAATTGATAAAATAATTCTAAACGGCCTTTAAACGGCTTATATTCAATCCACAAGTATAAAAATGAGTGTAATCGATGGTTCCTAAACGGCTTTAATTTTAAAAAATGTAAATATAATTTTATCGCTTGCCATATTTTTAAAAAAGATGTTTTTCAAAAAATTAGTATGGTTCCATACTATAAGTATGATTCCATAAATTTTTCATACATATTACTCTGTTTTGAAACGTCTAGTGTGCACGTGAAAATAATGTCCAGTTGTTATGGTGACTGTCTCGCCGTGAGTTGTTTGTTAAGGATAATTTAAATTAATCGATACACATTTTTAATCACTTGGTTTTTGTAAAGGGCAGTTGTCGTGCTGCCTATAAAGTGACATGGCTACTATTTGTCGCATAATTTACTGAATAAAATAGCAGTCAATTCAGCCTTTTCTGGCATTTGTTTTAAGTGACCTTATGATATATGTATGACCTGTATCTTCTCAAAGCATCGGTCCAGATGACCAACTCATTATTGCCGACATCTACGAACAAAGCAGGACTGAGCTCCCCTAAACGTTCTCGTATATTCTTATTTAACAGTTTAGGGTGGCACTTCCAATGCAATCGGGCTATAGAAATATTAAAGTTTGCGACAAATCGCTCCCTTTTTTCGAAAAACCTGTGGAAGCGGATTTTTTAAGTATTTGTATTATGAGAGTCAAATTACCAAATTCTAAAGGTTTTTGAGGAAAATTGTAGAAAATTGTTTTGTAGAGTGCAATTTTTGTAAATTTCACAATGATTATACACATAAACGTATACATGTTTCTGTTGTTATTCCCACGTTTTCTTTAACTTGCTTTCTCTGTTTGTTTTTCCAATCAAATCTTGCGATCGAAATTTCTGGCACTTCCCAGTTAGCTAGCGCGCTGAAATTATCAGGGAAGGTTTCTTTTGGATGACCATAGAATATTCAATTGTTATTATTACTAAATTGATCAATGGAAACATTTTATTGAGCATTTTAGACCGCTATATAATCTATATATATAATTCTCCTCTGCGAGCCATTAGAAAAAAACGAGCGACGCGTAGCTCGCCTCTCTCTTGCCGCGCGCAGTGACGCGAAACGATCCCACGTCGCGACAAGCTTAGGGGCAGATAATTTAGTTTGAACCGACTTTAAACTTACAGGAGGTAACTATTACCACTGGTGGCATCTTTTTTAATGATTATTATTATGGTAATTTAGTGTCACACGTTGTTTTGGGGCTACTTTTTATTTTATTTTGTTAGTTACCTAAACTATTATTAGCAAAAGGCAACGAGAAAACAATCAAGTTTTAATAGTCATGTATTTTAATAAAACTAAAAGATTTCCAACAATGATAGCTCCCATTGTCAATTTCATAGGCTGCTGCCTCGCAACAATTTACATACGTTTTTGGCATCATTCATCACATTTTTTTATTGTAATAATTTTGTGTTATTTATAGAAAAAGCAAAATAAAAAACAAAACTTTAAAATTCGGGTATTCCTAAATAAAAATAAAATAAAATAAATGCACACCATCATTTCTAATAAATCAAAAATATACAAGCAAATATTATGGACAGTAATTTCAAAAACATATTTCTAATAATATAACATGAACATGAATTAGTTGTATTATGTTAATTTTTAAATCACGTATTAATCTGAAATTTTCTAAATTATTTATAATATAATGTTACTAGAAAACACACGACGAGGATATTTGAGAAAGTAATATCAGAAACACAACACAATAAACGTATTTAAACGAATCAATGTAAATACGTTTTACATGTAATAACGAGTTTAGTATCTTTGCTTTAGTGTTTTTAAAAAAGTCGGACTCCGTTTAATTTAGAACGTCCACAGTATAATGTAAATCTGATGCACAACTACACAAACCAACATAAACCAACACAAACCAACACAAACCAACACAAACCAACACAAACCAACACAAACCAACACAAACCAACACAAACCAACACAAACCAACACAAACCAACACAAACCAACACAAACCAACACAAACCAACACAAACCAACACAAACCAACACAAACCAACACAAACCAACACAAACCAACACAAACCTACACAAACACAATATAGAAGCTACTTTCAATATGATAAGACAGAACACAACACACAAAATATGACACCCCCATCTCCCACCCATAACATTTGTTTAACGCGGAGACGATGACAATTCCTTTAATTTAAATCCTAGATGTTACACAAGGGAGGTAAACTAATGAGGAAAGGGAAGTAACACCTGATGTAAGGTCTTGTCAAAGTAAAAGCAGGTTTGTGACAGATATAACATCGTGCTTACACAAGTGAAATGTATACTTTACACGTCTAGACACACTCTCTCTCTCTCTCTCACACACACACACACACACACACACACACACACACACATATATATATATATATATATATATATATATATATATATATATATATATATATATATATATATGTTTATAATTATATGTATAAAATTTCAGATAATATGTTATTGTTAACTCGCTTTGAACTAGTTGCAGACTTTTAGCGTCTATTGTAGTTGTCTCCTTCTGGTGGGGCATGATGCCCAGTGGATCGTGGGGTTGTTTATATAGCCTGCATGTACTGGGGGCAACCAGACTAAAGGGCACCAAACCCAGCTTGACAATACTGGGGGTTGTCGAACCCAGCTTTACCAGACTGCGCGGCGCCGAAGCTAGACTGAACAGATTGCATGGCGACAAATCCAGCTTGACTAGGTTGAGGGGCGCCATACCCCACTTGACCATATTGTGGGGCGCCATACCCCGCTTGACTAGGTTGAGGGGCGCCATACACCACTTGCCCATATTGTGGAGCGACCAAGACTGGCATCATGTAGAGTGGGTTGACGCTGGACTGAGAGCTTTGTTGGGAAACTTGAGTCACAGATAGCCCCATGTGGTCAGTTTGCATACTGACATAAGGAGTGGACGTGTCCTGGAAAATATACATGGCGTCCAAACATTAAGATTTAAAATCATCTCATTTGTTCGATTTCAACATCTTTTAAAATAAAATATTTTTTTATGTGATGACTAGCATATAAAATGAAACATCATATGTACAAACTGAATGAACTTCCTAACCCTAATCCTCAACCAAAACTTTAACCTAGACCTCGTACTAAACCTGAACCTAAGCCTAAACTTAAACATGAAATCTAAACCTAAATCTAAACCTGAACCTAAACTTAAACCTGAAATCTAAACATAAACTTAAACCTGAACTCCGACCTCATTCATATCCTCATGAGATCTAACACAACTTACCTAAGCACCTAACAAGTGTAGCTGGACTTACCTTAGCACAGCAGGTGTAATACAGCTTACCTTAGCACAGCAGGTGTAATACAGCTTACTCTAGCACAGCAGGTGTAATACAGCTTACCTTAGCACAACAGGTGTAATACAGCTTACCTTAGCACAACAGGAGTAGTAGCAGCAGAAGATGAACTGAATGAACAAAACAACCCAGGAGATGACGACCGCGACGAACATGCCAATGAACATATCACGGAGCTGGTCAAAGTATTCACAGGACTCGCCATAGGTGATGCTGGCCCCGCCATCGCCACTGCAACAAAAACATTGGGTTCAAGATGCTGCAGCACATTTGTCAGAAGCCGCCTGAGAGCATGACGTGATGGCACCCACCTGCAGACGCACGTGTTCTCTGTGGACTGACAGATGGATTGGAAGACTTGTTTAGTGATGACGATGGCGTACATTCCAAGTCCAAGGATTAGGATAATCACACCCAACCCAATAAAACACACGATGCCGAAAACTAAAGTTGTCACATACTGAAATATAGAGACATTTATATATATATACTAGTCGTTGGTACCCGTTACACGTGAATTATCGGTCTTTATATTTTTAATGGTATACATTTTTAGAAGAATATTTTATAAAATAGTTATTGGTCAAAACGCAATGTGCTTTACTACAGGTTTAACGATATTAGTGACAAAGCAAAGAGATAACTAAATAGCTAAAAGTCCGACATATTTAAAATACCATAGGCTACTAATACCTATTAGAAAAATATGAAATTATATACATAATTAGTCAACACAACATCATATTAAATGCACACATTGATTAAAAGACTTAAATGACTCCGATAAAAACCCGACTTTTCAATGGTATTTATGTTGTTTTTTTAAAGTAATTTGTATTCGTTTTGGCCGAGGAAATTGTAAAACTTTTATAAATTACGTCTCGATATGTAAATCCATAGATCTAAATCAAATTTTAATGAAATAGTTTATTTCTTCGTATTCTAAAATTGGAAGATGACGTCATTGGTTTTGTGTACTTTCCGTACTTGAAACATATGACATGTGACGTCATCGATTTCGGCGTTCTTGTCCCAACTATAAACACTTTTCCGGTTGCATAATTAAAACTGTTTTCTACATTCTAATACGCATTTATTTTTTTTTCTTTAAATAAAATTGTTTTTATACATTTAAAACATCTAACATATTATTTTCGACAAAAGTCCGTATCAAGTTCTCCAATATATCTCTGAAGATTCTGATGTGATATCCTGTGAAAATATTTTGCGGACACAGAGAGAGAGAGAGAGAGAGAGAGAGTGCGCACATGGGCTTTTATATATTAGGATTATATATTAGGATATATATATATATATATATATATATATATATATATATATATATATATATATATATATATATATATATATCCTTATATATATATATATATATATATATATATATATATTGTGGTCATGATTAATATTCGAACTTGACAGCTACACTGTGGTAAGTGCAAAAAAAAAATGACAACAAAATTAAAAAAAAAAACCAACACCAACCAATTGTCCAAAAATGTTTAATATTTCGTTAATGGCTCTCTAGAATATCTTCATCAATATACAGTACTGATGATATTACAGAGCAATGAAACCCGTTGTCATGACGACAGAATATTTAACGACCCGACCTATTGAAATCTCAGATCGAGACTGGCCGTAGGTGTTAAAATAAAATACTTGGAGCGTTGTGTTAAAATACTTGGTGCGTTGTGTTAAAATACTTGGTGTGTTGTGTTAAGATAATTTGTGCGTTGTGTTAAAATACTTGGTGCGTTGTGTTAAAATACTTGGTGCGTTGTGTTAAAATACTTGGTGCGTTGTGTTAAAATAGTTGGTGCGTTGTGTTAAAATATTTGGAGGGTTGTGTTAAAATAATTGGTGCGTTGTGTTAAAATACTTGGTGCGTTGTGTTAAAATACTTGGTGCGTTGTGTTAAAATACTTGGTGCGTTGTGTTAAAATACTTGGTGCGTTGTGTTAAAATACTTATTGCGTTGTGTTGAAATATTTAGAGCGTTGTGTTGAAATACTTGGTGCGTTGTGTTAAAATACTTGGTGCGTTGTGTTAAAATATTTAGAGCGTTGTGTTGAAATACTTGGTGCGTTACGTAGGGTGTAACAGGAAGTAGAACATAAGATTAAAGATAGCGACACCAGATAACGACCAACAATAACAATTTAATTACAGAACTTATAAACTGAAAATGAATGACCATTAAACAGAAAAAAAGTAATTTTCAGTTTCAATTTTGTACCTGCAATAGCAATTAGTAACACCGGAACAGACACTTATAACACTTAGTCATGGTCCTGATAAATCAAGATAATGAATTCTAAGTACTAATTACCTATCACAAAGGTCATAGAAATGAATTCCTTTATCTCGTACCCGATTTTGTTTGATGTGGTTTTAGTTTGCAAGAAAAAGCACGCGGTAATATATAATACTAAAGTATGTGTAGTGACAACTCGCAATAGTGGCGTAGCCAGGATTGTCTCCTGGGGGGGGGGGGGGATACGCCACTGACTCGTAAAACCTATTAAAATTGAGTTAGCGGCTTACATTTGTTTACAATCCACAAAAAACTATTGCAGCCTCAGAAGGGGAAGTCACTCTCGATAAGCTCGGACTGTTTACATTCTGAACACACTGTGTAAAGTTACACACATATTGTTACACGGATGACACAAAAACTCACCATACATTTGTTCTGGACGAAAGCAGCTATGAAGCCGAAAAACCCAGGGACTATGAGCTGTAGAGAAATGTTTGAAATATGAATGTGGTGCTTTAAACAACAATTGTATGAGAAAAATGTTTGAAATATCAATGTGGTGCTTTAAACAACAATTGTATGAGAAAAATGTTTGAAATATATCAATGTAGTGCTTTAAACAACAATTGTGTGAGAAAAATGGTTGAAATATCAATGTAGTGCTTTAAACAACAATTGTATGAGAAAAATGTTTGAAATATCAATGTAGTGCTTTAAACAACAATTGTATGAGAAAAATGTTTGAAATATGAATGTGGTGCTTTAAACAATTGTATGAGAAAAATGCGTGAAATATCAATGTAGTGCTTTAAACAACAATTGTATGAGAAAAATGTTTGAAATATCAATGTGGTGCTTTAAACAACAATTGTATGAGAAAAATGTTTGAAATATCAATGTTGTGCTTTAAACAACAATTGTATGAGAAAAATGTTTGAAATATCAATGTAGTGCTTTAAACAACAATTGTATGAGAAAAATGTTTGACATATCAATGTGGGTCTTTAAACAACAAATGGTGATATCCCCATTGTGAGGTGGCCCCTGTTCAATAAAGTCTTAAGACGGCCCTTGTCAATTACAGTCGTAAGATGGCCAAAGTCGACTATAGCGGTAATATGGCCTCTGTCAGTGGTAAGATGGCCATTGCCTACTTCAGTAGTGAAATGACCGTTGTCAATTATAGTGGTAAGATGGCTTCTATACAATACAGTGCTAAGATGGCCCTTTAACTTTGGTAACTTACCACAAATCCAAAGGCCCAAATGGGAAAACTTGCAATCGTTTCATACGACCCATTCCAGTCACTGTTTCGCCAATCACTTGAGTCTTCAATAATTAACTTATCCAATAGTTTGGCAAGTAGAACAGCGAAAACTATCCCTGGACAAATGTTATTAAACTTTACAGTAAATGGTCTTGTAATTTTGTATGTAGGAAACAGTGTGATGATTGTAATCAAACAAGAGTCTCAGGGGACGATCTGTGGTGGGGTCGGGCGTTAGTGTGGGTGGGAAACTTGGATTCATGTGGGAAGGGTCGGGAGGTGTGGGTGTGATCAGGCAAGAGGAGGGGGAGGGCGGGAAGCGGGGGATTGGAGAGCTTAGGTGGTGCAGGGCGGAGCATGTAGTTTTGGTTATACCAGTGCAGGCAGACCGTAAATCAACAGATATCTAGGTCGTCTAGTATAGTATTGTGTGAAGTTTAAAAAATTAAAGAGCGCTGACTTATCTCGATTGTCCTCCAACTAACAACATTAAAATGACCACATCCACTTAGCCCACATGAAATGACCAAATTAAATGACTCCTCATAAAATGACCACCTTTACTGTCGTGACATAAAATGACTTTATTTCCCTTGACTTCAAGAAAATGACCACTGCCATTAACATCACAAAAAATTACCAATTGTACTGACCACAATGAGACGACTACTGACACGACATGAGATGACACTCTCTAGTATGACCTGACATGAAACGACTTACCCCCTGCAATAACAAATCCTGACAAGAAACCCAACGTCAAAGCCCTGTTTTTAATCATTCTCACAGCAGAACCTACGCCAGTCAACAGGAAATCAAAGTTACACAATACAGCCAATAGCCTGTCTGTCGACTCACAATACGATTCTTATCGCTGTGAAATGTCTAGCTTTCTAATACTGAAATGTACAAAAAATAATTTCCATTTATTATAATAGTGGACATTTTGTTATAAAACGATGTAGGCCTACACACTACTATTGAAAATCTCAAAGAAAAGCGATAACACAGTACTTAAATCTGAACCGGTCCCTACCAGTGTTGAAGCTAAATAAACTGTATCTCTCTGAATGAGCTATCAGTCTGATAAAAAAAAAACACAGCTATTGTTTGATTCGCCATTTGTTATCTGCATTTCAACACTTTGCGCAACTCTCCGTGTGCTTTATATGAAAAAGTTATTAATAGTCGACCTGTATTGTTCTATGATTGTGTACTGATTGTGTACTGATTGCGTACTGATTGCATTAAGCAGATAAGTAGCAAGCAGTGGCGTCACGAGGTAGGGAAAAAGTGACAACGGGTGACATTGAGGGGGGGGGGGTTGTGCGGTCATACCAGGTGACATTTGGGGGGGGGGGGGGTTGCGGACTGTTAAAAAAGCCCCATTATGATTATGTTAGACGGGTCGCAGGGATATTATATAATGCAGCCAAAACTAGCGTAAAGCTGCGAATTAATTTATATTTATATATATATATATATATATATATATAAAATATATATATATATATATATATATATATATATATATATATATATATAAAATGTATATATATATATATATATATATATATGTGTATGTGTGAGTTTATTTAAACAATTTTTTTTAAGTGAAAACAAAACGAGTATATTAAAACATTTTTTCATACCAAAAGAATATTAGTTGTAAAAACGAGTCACTTTTGGTAAATGATTTTTGTTCTGCGTTTGCGTAAAAAGGATGTATAAATGTATGCAGTGGCGTAGCGAGGTCGGGTGTCACCCGGTGCGGCACTTAATGGTGTCACCCCCCCAGAGGCATAGAGACCCTTCCCAGGGACAAACTTTCAAATTTTCGATTTGCACCCCCCCGCCTCAAACTTTCGATTTGCACCCCCCCCTCGAGTTTTCGATTTGCACCCCCCCCCCTCAAACTTTCGATTTGCACCCCCCCCCCTCAAGTTTTCGATTTGCACCCCCCCCTCAAACTTTCGATTTGCACCCCCCCCTCGAGTTTTTCTCTATATATTTTGCTATTTTTTGCCTTGGTGTCACCCCCCCTAAATGGTGTCACCCGGTGCGGTCCGCACCCCCCGCCCCCCCCCCCTCGCTACGCCCCTGAATGTATGTGATATATATATGCGCGTTGATCGTAATCATCTGTTGATGGGAATATGTCTAACACAGATTCTTACTAAGAGTGAAGAGATATGACCTGGAAAACCTCTAACATCCAGGTTTAAATTGCGACTGTTGTGAAGTGGCCTCGTGAAACTGAAATTGTTACTTCCACGAAATATTAGCCCTCGCCCCGCCATAACAAAACACGCCTGAACTTTTCCACGAAACCTCAGCCCCACTCTCCCATTTCAGTACACAGCCAACCACACGCACAACACAGTACACAGCCAACCACACGCACAACACAGTACGGGCCAACCACACGCACAACACAGTACACAGCCAAACACACGCACAACACAGTACACGGCCAACCACACGCACAACACAGTACACGGCCAAACACACGTACAACACAGTACACCGCCAACCACACGCACAACACAGTACGGGCCAACCACACGTACAACACAGTACACAGCCAACCACACGCACAACACAGTACACAGCCAACCACACGTACAACACAGTACGCAGCCAACCACACGCACAACACAGTACACAGCTAACCACACGCATAACACAGTACACAGCTAACCACACGCACAACACAGTACACGGCCAACCACACGCACAACACAGTACACAGCCAACCATACGCACAACACAGTACACGGCTAGCCACACGCACAACACAGTACACAGCCAACCATACGCACAACACAGAACTCAGCCAACCACACGCACAACACAGTACACAGCCAACCACACGCACAACACAGTACACAGCCAACCACACGCACAACACAGAACACAGCCAACCACACGCACAACACAGTACGGGCCGACCACACGCACAACACAGTACACGGCTAGCCACACGCACAACACAGTACACGGCCAACCACACGCACAACACAGTACGGGCCAACCACACGCACAACACAGTACACGGCCAACCACACGCACAACACAGTACACGGCTAGCCGCACGCACAACACAGTACACGGCTAGCCACACGCACAACACAGTACACGGCCAACCACACGCACAACACAGTAAACCGTAAACACACGCACTTGAGAACTGACACAGAGATAACTACGTAAAAAAACCTGACGTTTGTTGAGTTTGTTCAAGAAAGCTGACGGCACCAAGATTTCTGACCTACGCCTTGTAAGAGGTAGGGACGGTGTGGTCGAATGGTAGAGTGTTCGACTGCTAACCAGCGCTCGAGTCTGTGTGACTTCCCTGAGCCCACTCAGCTCTAATAGGTACCTGTCACACTTTAAGGAAAGTAAAGACGGAACGATGCGTAGTGCTGAACACAATATCCCTTCATATGTCGAGGGCACTGAAACAGGAGAACTCTACTTCACCAGCCCCATGGACAGTTCACGAGCCTATGTATTCAATAGTATCATTATTTTGTCTGTTCCTCTTGTAAAAGTGCCCACCACTTTTTTTTTAGAACTATGACGACATTACACTAAGAGAACACTAACATTAGAACGCGGTAAAATGTAGACAGGGAAAATGACTTTATTGAAATAGACCAAAACATATACCACGTAATTTATAAAGTGTTGTAAAAATTAAACATTACAGCCATATTTTTTTTATTAATATAAACGTTTTTTAAATATTTGTTTTGTCTTGATTAAGAGAAGGTCTGCAATGGGGTGCTAGACTGGCGGCCGCCTCTAGAGGCGCCGAATCCATTTTGCCCATACGGTGGGGCGCCGTACCCATACATAAATGTAAACTAATTAAACTTCTACTTATTATATCAAAGTTAATGTCACATTAGTGCCATCTAGCCTTGACCTACATGTCAAAATTGAAATAAATGCGTAGGGTAAAAATAAATGAAACTTCGTTCGCTAATCTTAACCCATACCGGAAAAAAAACAGACTGAATTAAGCAAGGGGAAGCAAATCACGTAAAAGCTTGAGATAAAATATCTATTGTATATAGCATAGATCTATAATAACGGGAAAATATCCATTCAAACAAACGGTCGCCAGGCATATTGCACTCGTTCTGAATCCGACCAAACGTCTCTTCGGTAAAACGGTCTTTCGGACTAACGGCCTTTCGGACTAACGGCTTTTCGGACAAACGGCAAATGTCTTGGAGGAAATGTCCCGTATCTCTGCCTAAGCCACAGCAGTCAACAAAAGAAAAAATTCTTTGGTAATTCTGGACGAGTCTCATGTTTTGGAAATATTTATAAATTAATTTTTTGGTAATTCTGGACGAGTCTCATGTTTTGGAAATATTTATAAATTAATTTTTTGGTAATTCTGGACGAGTCTCATGTTTTGGAAATATTTATAAATTAATTCTTTGGTAATTCTGGACGAGTCTCATGTTTTGGAAATATTTATAAATTAATTTTTTGGTAATTCTGGACGAGTCTCATGTTTTGGAAATATTTATAAATTAATTTTTTGGTAATTCTGGACGAGTCTCATGTTTTGGAAATATTTATAAATTAATTCTTTGGTAATTCTGGACGAGTCTCATGTTTTGGAAATATTTATAAATTAATTCTTTGGTAATTCTGGACGAGTCTCATGTTTTGGAAATATTTATAAATTAATTCTTTGGTAATTCTGGACGAGTCTCATGTTTTGGAAATATTTATAAATTAATTCTTTGGTAATTCTGGACGAGTCTCATGTTTTGGAAATACTTATAAATTAATTTTTTGGTAATTCTGGACGAGTCTCATGTTTTGGAAATATTTATAAATTAATTCTTTGGTAATTCTGGACGAGTCTCATGTTTTGGAAATATTTATAAATTAATTCTTTGGTAATTCTGGACGAGTCTCATGTTTTGGAAATATTTATAAATTTATTCTTTATTAATTCTGGACGAGTCTCATGTTTTGGAAATATTTATAAATTCTTTGATAATTCTGGACAAGTCTCATGTTTTGGTAATATTTATAAATTAATTCTTTGGTAATTCTGGACGAGTCTCATGTTTTGGAAATATTTATACATTCATTCTTTGGTAATTCTGGACGAGTCTCATGTTTCGGAAATATTTATAAATTAATTCTTTGGTAATTCTGGACGAGTCTCATGTTTTGGAAATACTTATAAATTAATTTTTTGGTAATTCTGGACGAGTCTCATGTTTTGGAAATATTTAAAAATTTATTCTTTGGTAATTCTGGACGAGTCTCATGTTTTGGAAATATTTATAAATTCTTTGATAATTCTGGACAAGTCTCATGTTTTGGTAATATTTATAAATTAATTCTTTGGTAATTCTGGACGAGTCTCATGTTTTGGAAATATTTATACATTCATTCTTTGGTAATTCTGGACGAGTCTCATGTTTCGGAAATATTTAAAAATTAATTCTTTGGTAATTCTGGACGAGTCTCATGCTTTGGAAATATTTATAAATTAATTCTTTGGTAATTCTGGGCGAGACTCATGTTTAGGAAATATTTATAAAATAATTTTTTGTATTTGTTACATTAAGGTATCGGCTGACCCATACTAGTAGTATAGTGAAAAACATCGACCCTAAACAATTACATCGGTCTTTCTCTCACTCTTTCCTGTTCTCTCCGGCCGTCCACTGTTCTAAAAAAAATTAATTATTTGTTTGAGTGATGTCTTGAAGGGGATGGACCTCCACTGCTGATGCGGTGTCTGTAGCTGTGGTGTTTCGTTGGTCGCCGCTGTGGGCTCTCTGCCAGGCAGGGGCGTCGTACCCGTTTTGTCCAGCTGGTGAGGCGCCGTACACATTTTGCCCATTAGGTGCGCTATACCCGGTTTGGCCATTAGGGGCGCTATACCCGGTTTGGCCATTAGGTGCGCTATACCCGGTTTGGCCATTAGGGGCGCTATACCCGGTTTGGCCATTAGGGGCGCTATATCCGGTTTGGCCATTAGGGGCGCTATACCCGGTTTGGCCATTAGGGGCGCTATACCCGGTTTGCCCATTAGGGGCGCCGTACCAGTATGGCCCATAATGTGGGGCGCCGTATACATTTTGCCCATACTGTGGTCCGCCATATGCTGGTACTGTGTTCACTGGGGCGAGATATGCCTGAGAATTTTGTTGCTGTGAAACTTGACTGACAGAAATATTCGTCTGGGGTCCTGACTGGACGACAACGCCAGGTGTAGTCGTGATCTGGAATAAAATGGAAATGTTTTTGTAGAGTGCAACATGAATATGATGTTTTAAAATAAAATACGCACGCACGCACGCGCGTACACACACACGACTCAAAATAAAAACACACAGAAGTTTATACTAGTCCTGAGATAACACACAAACTCACACATAATCATTGCGCTTTTTTATATCTTGTCATGTCGTGTTTAGTGTGATTTGTCTGAATATGTTGACGTACCATAAGGACTTACCTGACAAGAGCAGGTGCAGTAGCAGTGTAAGATGTTGACGTACCATAAGGACTTACCTGACAAGAGCAGGTGCAGCAGCAGTGTAAGATGTTGACGTACCATAAGGACTTACCTGACAAGAGCAGGTGCAGCAGCAGTGTAAGATGTTGACGTACCATAAGGACTTACCTGACAAGAGCAGGTGCAGCAGCAGTGTAAGATGTTGACGTACCATAAGGACTTACCTGACAAGAGCAGGTGCAGCAGCAGTGTAAGATGTTGACGTACCATAAGGACTTACCTGACAAGAGCAGGTGCAGCAGCAGTGTAAGATGTTGACGTACCATAAGGACTTACCTGACAAGAGCAGGTGCAGCAGCAGTGTAAGATGTTGACGTACCATAAGGACTTACCTGACAACAGCAGGTGTAGTAGCAGTGTAAAATGAAGACCAGGAACAACACCATCCAGGTTATGACAGCAAACACAAACAATACAATGAAGATGTCCCGGGGCTCACCTTGTAGTTTCTCACACGAAAACTCACTCATAAAATACAACCTGTACAACAAGAAATACAGACAATTTGGAGGTCAGCAGGTGCAGACGTTTTGGGGAAGAAAAAGAGAAAACAAAATGAAAGGTTTACAACAAAGACATGGATCGAAATAGAAGATAGGAAAGAGAACAAAACAGAGATTTCGTGCCACATCATCTAGATCAGGGGTCGGCAACCCTTTGAGACGGAAGAGCCAAATGTTACAATCTACTTAATTTCCCAAATTTTAAAGAGCCACTAATACATTTTTTACGCTCTACTCCATTTATCTCATTTAAAGAAAAATTGTTTAAAGTTGTTTTTTTACAGTATCATTTTTTTGAGTTTTGAAAATAAAATAAAATCATTATTATGAAACTGGAGAGCCGCATGTTGACATCAAAAGAACCGCAGGTTGCCATCCCCTGATCTAGATTTATTTTTAAGACGTGCCCAAACCAGCGCCATCTTTTTCGATTCATTTGGACACTGCTTCCTTTTCCATCTCTCTTAGTAGGGTCCTAGGACCTTTGACCACAGGTGCATTGACCATAGGGGGTTTGACCATAGGGGGTTTGACCATAGGGGGTTTGACCATAGGGGGTTTGACCACAGCGGAGCTTTGACCATAGGGGCTTTGACCATAGGGGGTTTGACGCTGTGTCCGGCTTTGATCATAGGTGTTTTGTCCACATAGGGTCTTTGATCTCAGGTGTTTTGTCCACATAGGGTCTTTGATTTATTTTAAAAGTTGCTAAATTATATTTTAAATTTCGACATGATGTAATAATATGTTAAATCATCATGTATAAATACAAGTCATCCAAACTACTCTATGTCAAATCCATTAAGAATCTTGGAGAGTATAGCAGGTCGAAAAAAGGTAAAAGAACTTTGTTGTATCGTGGCCACGAGTTTTGGCTACACAGAGAACGCCAGGACGGGTCACGCGTTTGGCGGTGTACGAAGAATCGCACTTGTAAGTGCAAAGCTTCAATAGTTTCCTTGAAGTTCTACAGATGGACTGCACACGGCCAAAGAAAACTTTCTTGCAAGGTGTCGCAGGGGCAAGCTACCCAGCTTAGAAGCGATACAAGATGCTGCACGAAAAAGTACAACGTGCTGTCCAGACATATGGTCAAACAGATGTACTGACATATTTGCGTGCTATAGCACATCTGTCATTTAGTTAACCATTTTATGTCTTACATCTTTGACTATATTGTTGGCAAGTTTTGTATCATTTTTTATCCTTTATATATGCTATGTATTTTCAAACCCCCTATGGTCAAAGGCCCGCTGTGGTCAAAGGCCCGCTGTGGTCAAACCCCCTATGGTCAAACCCCCTATGGTCAAAGCACCTTAGCTATGATGTTGGGCCATTGATTGTCTTTTATCCTTTTTAAGCACTTAATTTGGAAAGAGTCAAGTGATCTGATTGTGGCGATTCTTACGTTCCGGCATTCGCTGCCATACTGTAGGACGTTAAGGAAATTACTTTTGAAAAGTCTGCATTTGATCTTGGACGAGATTCTCTTACATCGCCAAGTTTTCATTAGAAATTCTGCTAGAAAAGGTTTAGGAAAAAGGGATGTTCCCATCAGACGAAAAACTGGGCTATCTTTAAAATCGAGTGGAACTCCACCAAACGGTTGGTGGATCTGGAGTTTGATGCTAACATATGCCTACCAGGTTCCATGACAAATGATCTCAGGACAAATGATCTCAGACAAAATATCTCAGACAAAATATCTCACAGTAAAATTTTAATAGTATGTACGATGATTTTAGTTGATTTGAATTTTTTTTTTATTGACTGTCAATATGGTTTTGTATACTTTTTACGCGTAATAATTGTGTGTAAAATGAATTTGTTAAACTTAACAAAGCATAAAAAATGCATTATACTTAATCTTTCTAATAGCATTTGTTTTGAAAAAGTAAAAATTAAAACAAACTTACTCCTAAAAGGTATAATAAATGATAAGGTATAAAATAAATAAAGTAACGGTAGCTATACAAGATTAATGTTCAAAACACGCGAAATATTTAAAAAAAATGTGAATGGGTCTTCAGGTTCGTAACGTAAAACTATTGTTTTTACTGCATCATCAACACAAACGAAACGCTTACGTTTCTATGCCGGCAGGTACATTGTTATGATCAGACCTTTCCAACTCTATGTTATCATGTATTGTGTGAACTCTTGCTCGACACTTCACATTTTCAAATCTCTTTTCCTGCTGCTCCACTTCTGGCTTTTATAAACAGAATACTGCTTTGTTTGCATGCACACTACGACAAACGTAGCTCCACGATGACCGCTGTCGTTTAAATAAGCATTTGTCACATGATCGCTAAGGTGTGACCGACGCATCACTATTATGCTAATTGTATTGTCCATGGAGGGAGGTTGTCTTTCCCTTAAGGCATGTCTCTACTGTCAAAGCGGGCGGCCACCTTGTTATTTCATTCCCTTTGATCTTCACATACTATATTAGTCATCATAGTTTTAAAATGTTTAGTGCAATATGACAAATTTTTGTGGTAAACAATTTTTAAAATTATTATATAGGCCTATAAACAATATTCAATATAGTACACAATACCATATGATAGTCAATAAAAAAATGTTCCGATCAACTAAAATCATCCAGTACACTATTAACATTTTGCTGTGAGATATTTTGTCTGAGATATTTTGTCTGAGATCATTTGTCCATGGTATCATTTGTCCTGATATATTTTGTCCTGGTATCTTTTGTCCGTGAGATCATTTGTCCTTGAGATCATTTGTCCTTGAGATCATTTGTCCTGAGATCATTTGTCCTGAGATCATTTGTCCGTGAGATATTTTGTCTGAGATATTTTGTCTGAGATCATTTGTCCTGAGATCATTTGTCCTGTCACCTATCGTCATCGCCTACCATCTCACAAACAACAACACGCTCAAACTAATCTACAGCGACTCCTGGAAGAACCCTCCAGAGTAGGATTAAAAATCAATAAATCGAAAGCAGAGGTCACCGGAATCAATCAATAATCAGGACCCGGTCATACACCTACAGGACAAGACAAACGAGAAACAATAAATGACTTGAGCTCAACTAAAGAGAGGGGCCCAAACAGTCAGATTGTGATATGTAGCTGCAGTCAGTCATATACTGTGATGTTTAGCTGCAGCCAGTCGTGTGCTAATGTTTAGCTGAAGCCAGTTTGGTGCTGATGTTTAGCTGCAGCCAGTCGTGTGCTAATGTTTAGCTGAAGCCAGTTTGGTGCTGATGTTTAGCTGCAGCCAGTCGTGTGCTAATGTTTAGCTGCAGACAGTCTTGTGCTGAGATGTAGTTACAGCCAGTCTGGTGCTGATGTTTAGCTGCAGCCAGTCGTGTGCTAATGTTTAGCTGAAGCCAGTCTGGTGCTGAGATCTAGTTACAGCCAGTCTGGTGCTGATATATAAGTGCACCCCTTTGCTCAAATGTTTAAGCTTAGCGGCAACACTGGAATAAAAGTCACTACAAAAGTCTACAAAAAACAGAGGAAATGGCACCGACCTGCAGTTATATATTTTGCCGTAAGTTCCCAGACCAAGCAGCAACATGATGATAAACATCGCAATCAAAAACAGGATTTCAAAAACCAAGGTTACAATGTACTGAAATAAAAAAAACACGCATATATATATATATATATATATATATATATATATATATATATATATATATATATATATATAATCTCCTAGCAAACCTCACACCACCATTTTATATTACAACTAATCTTCACTCTCATTATTGTATGCTATTTTAAATAATATTGATGTCTCAGTAACGTTTGTACAAATATTAATATTTTTACATTCCCACCCCTCCTCCCTGTAGACACGTGTCCACTAAAGTCTACTTTCTCCCACCCACCCACCCACCCCCCTACCTTTACACAAGTGTCCACTAAAGTCTACTTTCTCCCACCCATCCCCCTATCTTTACACACGTGTCCACTAAAGTCTACTTTCTCCCACCCACCCCTCCACTTTATCCATCCTCCTCAGTTTTCCAATTATTTGACATCCCATTATAGGCTACTGTTTGTAAACAATCTGTTGATAGTGACAAAAAAATGCTCAACTCACAAGACATTTGTTATGGAGATGGGCAGCTACAACGCCCAGAATCCCAGGAATTATGTACTGAAATAAAAGTTTGCGATGTTTGAAAGATCTAAGATCATAGGAATTATGTACTGAAATAAAAGTTTGCGATGTTTGAAAGATCTAAGAACACAGGAATTATGTACTGAAATAAAAGTTTGCGATGTTTGAAAGATCTAAGATCACAGGAATTATGTACTGAAATAAAAGTTTGCGATGTTTGAAAGATCTAAGATCACAGGGATTATGTACTGAAATAAAAGTTTGCGATGTTTGAAAGATCTAAGATCATAGGAATTATGTACTGAAATAAAAGTTTGCGATGTTTGAAAGATCTAAGATCACAGGAATTATGTACTGCAATAAAAGTTTGCGATGTTTGAAAGATCTAAGATTATAGGAATTATGCACTGAAATACAAGTTTGAAAGATCTAAAACGCCTAGTCTCAAAGTAATAATCTGCATCATCTAGCTGTGTGATACAAACTATTGAACATGCGTTGGCTTAAGTAAGAATAGTGATGGATGTATACTGTACACCACAGAGATTGGCTTAAGTAAGAATAGTGATGGATGTATACTGTACATCACAGAGGTTGGCTTAAGTAAGAATAGTGATGGATGTATACTGTACATCACAGAGGTTGGCTTAAGTAAGAATAGTGATGGATGTATACTGTACACTACAGAGTTTGGCTTAAGTAAGAATAGTGATGGATGTATACTGTACATCACAGAGGTTGGCTTAAGTAAGAATAGTGATGGATGTATACTGTACACCACAGAGGTTGGCTTAAGTAAGAATAGTGATGGATGTATACTGTACACCACAGAGGTTGGCTTAAGTAAGAATAGTGATGGATGTATACTGTACATCACAGAGGTTGGCTTAAGTAAGAATAGTGATGGATGTATACTGTACACCACAGAGGTTGGCTTAAGTAAGAATAGTGATGGATGTATACTGTACATCACAGAGGTTGGCTTAAGTAAGAATAGTGATGGATGTATACTGTACACCACAGAGGTTGGCTTAAGTAAGAATAGTGATGGATGTATACTGTACACCACAGAGGAGAATTGTGTGCTTTCATGACATGAGCAGAATGGTCAATGTTGTTTACGTGTACAAAATGGCTATGTTCACTATAGTGACAATGTATAAAACAGCATTAGTTACTTCCAAATTTTGATTATATCATCTATAAAAAACGCATAATAAAAATTACGATTAAACTGTTACTTAAAAATCTTTTATTAGTTTATACAACTATTTAGACGTACTGTTCATTTTTTAAAATACTAATTGCCAAATTTAAATTTTAGGCACAGTCCATGTTTTACAAACTTTAATTACACCGAAAAAAAATTCAAAAGAAAAATTTAAATAGATTCCAAAACTATGTGAAAATATATCATTTTTAAAGGTCTCGGCAGTTCTTGTAAACATCTCCTTTAGATGTACCTATTTTTTTCATTAAAGAAATGTTAGAAAATGACTCTCCACCTGTCTAGTCAAAGGCGACTAATTAAGTAGAAAAGGAAAACAGCTTACCAGAATTCCAAAAATCCAAAATGGAAAATTCCAATTAAGGCTATTCGCAGTTTGCGTAGCTTCTATCTTGTTAAACACAACAGCCGTGAGAATAGAAAAAAGTATCCCTTCACAAAAAAAAAAAGTTAGTTTAGGGGTTTATGTACATTTTTTAAAACTCCAAGTAAAGAACAAAATATAATTTTAGCCTACGAAATTTAAAAACCTTTTTGAGCTACGGTGATATTATTTTCTTATTATTTTCTTATTACAATTACAAGTGTTTTTTTTTATAAAGTCCAAGTAATTGTAAGTAGCTGTTAGTCACATCTTTTATTCAATTTCAGCTCATTACTAATTAGGCTTATTGTTAGTAAGTGCCTATGTGATGACAAAGTAATAATATCTACATATAAATATGACTGGAAAAATATCTACATATGACTGGAGCATAAGTAGGTGAAAAAAAATGAACTCAAAAGAACGAAATGTTTTGCAACTGTGTAATCCAATAAAATATCACATCAAATGATCATTGTTCAATAATGTTGCATCAAGTGATATACCTCTAATAATATCACACTAAATAATCTACCTGAAATTTTAAAACTTCAATTTAACAACCTCTAAAATAGTCACATTACATGACCTAACATAACTTACATCAAATAGTATCACACATTAAACAACTTACCACATCAAATGACCTATGCCATATAATAACACACCAAATGACTTACCACCAATAATACCACATCAAATGACCTACTACTTAAAACTCACATCAAATGACCTACCACATATAATACCACACCAAATGACTTACCTCCGATAATCACGACTCCTGACAATGCACCAAGTGTGACAACTCTGTTTTTAATCATTCTCTATCTGCTAGCAGGAGACCAATCTTATTCAGATCAGTTCAGTGGATTTTTGTCTTGTCGTCTTTGGTGTGGCAAGATTTTTGTCTTGTCGTCTTTGGTGTGGCAAGATTTTTGTCTTGTCGTCTTTGGTGTGGCAAGATTTTTGTCTTGTCGTCTTTGGTGTGGCAAGATTTTTGTCTTGTCGTCTTTGGTGTGGCAAGATTTTCGTCTTGTCGTCTTTGGTGTGGCAAGATTTTTGTCTTGTCGCCTTTGGTGTGGCAAGATTTTTGTTTTGCTAAATAAATATTAGTTAAAAGTCTGTTTATAAAAGATAAATGATCTTGATCATAATATTTTATTTTCTATAATTTTTTTATATTTATGTGTGTGTATTCTATTCTATATAAAATTAATATTTATTTGCAATGGAATATTAAACTTACAATATTAAAGTTACAAAAATATATTTAGACATACACTTACACATAACCTTGTTTGACTGATGTATGATTGTTTTATGACTGATGTACGACTGCTGTATGACTGCTGTATGACTGCTGTATGACTGCTGTATGACTGCTGTATGACTGATGTATGACTGCTGTATGACTGCTGTATGACTGATGTATGACTGCTGTATGACACGTGTACATAAGCTTCTAGGTAGACGTACACATACACATACATAAATTAATATTATATAAATAATACTTATTTTAGAAACCATCGTGGATTTCTACAAATATCTTTCATTTTAAAAATCATAATCTATTTAATACAGACATTTAATCTATGGTCAGCCAATCGATGACTATTTTTTTTTATTCATTACTGTTTTGTAAACAGCTCAAGTAATGTAGGGCCTATTGTTTAGCACTACGTGCAAGAAAATCAATACAGCCATTGTATCGTCGTAATTTATAAGGTGGTATGATTACCACTGCGGACGGCTGGCCTTGAACTTCTCAAGATAAATATCTCTTATCACTACAATATATATATATATATATATATATATATATATATATATATATATATATATATATATATATATATATATACAAGTTCAATATAGATACATTCATTATTTTATTTAAAATGTATACACTTTTTGTATAAAAACCCACATTAGTTGAATAATGAAAGTAAAGTTTTAAAATCACGATTCGTTGTTATCTAGACGATGCGTGGGTGTTTTATAAATGCTTTTATAGCCCCTCGATCTATTTATGCGTGGATGAATGTGTGTCCTATATATATATATATATATATATATATATATATATATATATATATATATATATATATATATATATACATTGTACACGGTTAAGATGAATATATATTCTAAGACAGCAACTTGCCTGTAAAGTGACTCAGTGTTCTACCAACCACATCGATCTGGTTTGCGACGTTGATGAAAACTTCTCGTTCAAACTGAAACTGAGCAGTTCCGAGAAACACACCCCCCTCACCCTCCCACCACAGCACCACACCAAACACGGTAAACAACAGAGAGCAGCATGTCTGTCATTATTGATTCCAGTCCAACAGAGTTGCATAATTTATGCCAGTGGAAGCTCATCAGTATAAAAAATAAATCATGGCCCAACACTAAGTTTAAAAAATGAACAAAGATACTAAAATATAAATCATTAAATATTAAAAAAGAAAATATTGAAGGATTTCCATTTAATGGAGGCACACGAGTTTGGAGAGAAGGGTTCAATATTTGGTACAAAATTAAATGCTTTCAGAAGAAAAAAAAATTTGAATACATATACACATGTGTATACTATATACACATATTACAAGTGTATATCGATATATATATATATATATATATATATTTTTTTTTTTAAATTTTTCTTACGTGGGGGGGGGGGGTGACACCATTAGGTGCCGCACCGGGTGACACCCGACCTCGCTACGCTACTGTAACTGTGCATTAATGAAAGGTAAATAAATATTACTTAAAAGGGTTATACAACTGTATGATAAAATTGGAATATATAATATGCGATATAAAATCCAATATCCATATCAATTTACAGACTGAGAAATAGACGACTCAATTATTTTTTGCTTAATTTTTGGTAATTTTTTACATTTCACTTTCTTTAACAAAAAAAAAAAAGTTTAAAAGAATTAACAAAACGATTTATGATAATAAACTTTTTTTATTGTATAAAACCGCAAAACCAATTTAAATCATGAATTCTATTTTCAACATTCTGCAGGATAAAATGTTAAAAAGAACATCAGTTTAACGTTTTAATCTGAAAAATAATTGGAGTTCTCATTCCCCGTAACTCTTAATCGATTGTTCCGACCTTAAGTTTTTAATAGTTATTTCCCTTAGATTGATTTATAGGCAAATAATTATCCTATTATCCTATTATTCGAACGCAGAAAAACAACTTTAAGTATGCAACCGGAATTTTTTTTATAGCTGTGACAAGAACACAATAAAAAATAACGTCAAATAAAATACAGCAGTCATACATCAAACATTCATCAGTCATATATCAGTCATACAGCCGTCATACTGCAGTCATACTGCAGTCATACAGCAGTTATACAGCAGTCATACTGCAGTCATACTGCAGTCATACAGCAGTTATACAGCAGTCATACATCAGTCATACATCAGTCATACATCAGTCATACATCAGTCATTCATACATCAGTCATACATCAGCCATACAGCAGTCATACATCAGCCATACAGCAGTCATACATCAGTCGTACATCAGTCATAAAACAATCATACATCAGTCAAACAGTCACACAATCATCCTGTTATATAAAGCATTCTAATATATACCAATGTTTTGAATTTGAAAAAAAAAAATCACATTTTATTTTTCCTGGTGCACCGTCAAAACGGCTCAGGACAAATCGGCTCCGCCAAAACAGCCCCGTTAAGATGAACCCGTTAAAACGATCCAGTCAAAATAGCCCCGTCAAAATAGCCCCTTCAAAATAGCCCCGTCAAAAGGGACCCGACATATTGGCTCCCGACAAATTGGCTTTCGACATAAGGGCTCCCGACAAATGGGCTCCCGACAAATGGGCTCCCGACATATTGGCTAGCGAAACATGAGCTCCCGACATAGTGGCTTCAGACAAATGAATCGTATGACCACTATTGGCATAAAAGTAACCATTTTGTTCTATTTCCAACGACACTATAACCTCTTTTAAATGCCTGAATGAAATTTTGTTTCATGAACCAACATCAATTCACAAACAAATCGAGCCCTTAACAGCTTAATTCCGCCAATTCTACAATTTTGATAATGTTTGATTTACCACATTAAAAGCGAGCACAGAAGTGTAAATGTTTGATATACACGATGTTTACAGGATATAACGGCATTTTGTTTTGATAACTTACAAGCATACTGCAGTTAGGAATGTACAGCGTGGAACCCTCTCCCCACAGACTTGAGTTGGAACAGCCTATAACTGACTCATTTATGGAAGTCATAGATAGATGAACCTTAAATTAAAACATACTATTTCTTATAATAGATAAACTATTATAAAAATAAGGCCTGCCGAACAAGAGATGTATACGTTGTATTAATTAAGAGTTTTGGATAAGCTAACTCTAAAGAATATTGATCAAGGGGTCCCACTGGCAGGTATCATATTCAATGAGATCGTTTTGCCGGGAGACTTAGTATCTGCGGAAGCCTTATTGACTGGAGCCCTTTTGTCGCGAGCCTAAATGACGGGAGCCTAAATGACGGGAGCCTATTTGTCGGTAGCCTATATGACGGGGTCCATATGTCGCTGGTCTTTTTGACGGGGTCGATTTGTCGAGTTCGTTTGACGCGGCCTTTTTGACATTGGCAGTTTTTTACGCTGCACGATTTTACCTATTACGAAGGGTTCGATGAAAGGGCATATGACTTTGGAAGAGTTCCGCACCATTAAAAAGGTTAAGAACCACTGCCTTAGACCAAGGCGGAACTACAGTGCCGCCAGACCCCGCATTGGGGGGTGGGGGGTAGGGGGGGGGAGACCTACGCCATTTAGGGGCCCACAGCCGACCATAATAAAAAAAATGATAGTTAAAAAATAATAATTTTTCTTTGCATATTTAACTTGCTGGTTGTTTTGTAAAAAGCTTACCATAACTGAGGTTGGATTATCTTTATTCTATAGACACCACCCCACGCTCTTGTATA